TATATTAGTGGAAGTAAATATTTAATGACTGTTGCAACAAACTTAATTTCATATTGTTGTACTTATTTAGATTTCTTTTGTAGGGATCTAGTAAGATGTATTTTGGAAAATTTAAAATATTATGTAATTCTCAAATAAACTGTTTTCCAAAAACACTTAACCATCTTGTGAAATATAACTGCAATTTGACACTCATGTGCTGTTCTGCATGCTGAGAACTGGCATACAGGCCAGAGGATGGTGGAGGCAGCTCACAGACTTGGTCACACGGCTGCTTAAACGTTCGCTGTCTTGACAATTCTTAATCTCTAGTGTGACTTCAGTGTCTTTAGTTAGCTGTACGTTGGGGCGTGGGTGACTTAACATAGAATGCAAGCAGCTGCTGAAAAGTGGTTTGGATATTAGCACAACTGCTCCTGAAGATTTCCAAATGTGTTGTGAAAGGGTTGGTCACATCCTTGGCACAGTCTCCCTGATGTCTCTGCTACGCTTCTGTGAATGTGACATAAATGACAAAGCAGCTGAAAGGAAACATGAGGACTCTTTAGTTGAATTCCTGGCAACTTTGTGATGCTTCATACTATACGGAGGAAGGTAAAAAGTAGTTTTAGTAAATGTTTCTGTTGGATGTTCTACCTGCCAGTCCACCCTGCAGCCTGTCTGGCCAGTGGTTAAGCTTCTGGCACTGCTCAGTTTGACGTGAGCACTTCCTTGCTTGAAATAATGCACCAGGTGCTGAGGAGTGAAGGCCAGAAGTTGCTGAGCCCTCCCCAAACTAACAGCTTTGAAAATAAGTTGGCTCCTGACAGTGTCACCTTGTGTGGAAAGCAGCAAGTGGAGTCCACGGGGTGTTCTGGTTCCTGGGTTAATTTTGTACCACAGGCGCACGCTCACGTTCAGCACCAGCGAGAGCAGCTTGGGGGGGCAGCCTGCTGCAGGGCTGGTCCTGGGCCAGCCACAACAGCACTGATTGTCAATAGCCCTCATTGTTTTCTTCCTGGTTTAGCTTTAATCCTCTTCTGCTGGTTGAGACTATTGAAATGTGGCAGCTCAACAATTTTTTTTCCTCTGTAAACAAATAACAAAGGTGCTACAGTTCTGTTACACTGCTGAAGCTGTTGGTTGCACTTGTGAAAAATTCTGGTGCAGACATCAAAGGTGGTGTTCTTGGTAGCTTGGGGGGATTGTATTCTAATGTATTTCCTTATGGCTTGTTGCAACCTTTTCTGTTAGCTGGGCTTTCCCTGTTTTGCTCTGAGCGCCTCTGTGGGCGAAGGCGTGATGCTTTGAAGAGGCAGGGCCTGGCCTCTCCTGTGCTGTTGCAGTTTGGGAATGCAGAGGTGAAAGTTCTTTTATCAGGTGTACACTTTCCAGCATAGATCAGTATATTCAATCTTTAAATCTTTTTTTTAATCTTTAAATATTCAATATTTTAACCTGCAGGTTAAAAATGCCTGAAACTTAGATTGGCAGTAATGCTTTTACTTAAAATGCTTTCAGTTCTGCATGAGCACTTGACATGTGAGTGCTGAGTGTTCACACTTGAAATTGATCTAGCAAAAGCTGTCTGGAGTGAAATTTAAATATATCTGTGCAAAGCTCTGGAATGCAGCAGATGGAGGCAGGGGACATAGTGTCCTGGCTTGACCCTGTCTCTTCCTGCAGTTCCTGTACTGCCCTTGGTGTGAACAGGGTAGTAACCGTGCAGCCCGGAGAGGGACAACTATGAGTATGCTTGAAGGAGGCCCTGTATTCTGAAAACCAGCTACTACTGGTTAATGTGAAGCATTCCGGGAAAATAAAAAGTGTAACTCCGAATTCTTTTTTAGGTAGTTATGACCCCCTTAGTAAGGAACTTGACTTCTCTTAGCGCAGTTTCTCATTCAGAAATGAGCTCTCCTTGTTCCTAGCTGGAGCACTCCTTGGTAGTGTGGGGGACATCTGTGTGCATGGTACACCAGCAGTTCTTGGGATTGTGGGGGATAGGTGTGGGGAGGTGGAGAGAAGGTTGTTGCTGCTCTGCAGCCCATTTTAGCCCTTTACCTTTTTGTGTTACTGAAGTGAGGTGGTAGCAAAGGCTCTGTGACACAGAGAGCCTTAAGTGCAAGCAGGGAGACTGGCTACAGTTCAGGTGTTGATGGGTTTTGGGTTGTCTGCTAATGCCTGTGTCATTGCTGGTTGAGCAGCCAGCCTGGGAGAAGACATTGCTGAAGGATCCATTCCCCAGGCACACCAAAGGCAAGGGTGCAGTGTCTTCAGGCACTTCCTGTGTCAATTCAACTGCAATTTAGACTAGATATTTAAAACTATCTTCATTTGGAGCCTGCCCTATCTGGAATGATTGCTTAGTTAAGCACTGAAGTGTCTCTGGGCAATGGTCTCATGTGAAATTTTATTTTGTTCTTAAAGAGCTATAAATACACTTGGGGAAGAAAGCTTCCTTCTTCTCTGCTTGAAAGGTCACTGGAGGTTGGGTCTAAGTTTTTGGTTCTTTACAGAAATATCCTGTACTATGGGGGGTTGAGTGTTGTCTTCCCTGTCATAAAAACCTGTGAAGGGAGGATGCTGATTCAAGCTGACCAGACATCAACAGACATGATCTCTACCTGATGCCTCAGGTCTGCTCACCCAAGTAAGAGGAGGCTGCTCTCCTTCAGCCTCAGAAAGCAGGTATGCTCACCAATAGTTACTTGAGTTGTGTTTGGTGTTTTTTTTTTTTTTTTTTTTTTTTTTTAAACGAATGGAAGTACACAAAGCTATCACTAAGAAACTGGGTTTCTGTAAGTCCCCTCCTGATTGCAAGTTCTTTTCTGAAGTTACCTGTGGAGAAAACGTGACAAGTCACTTCAAGAAATAGCAAAATCACGTTTGGGACGCAATTTACAAATTACTCTATTTAAAACTTTAATTTGTGATATTAATGACTGCAAAACACTTAGAATGACATTTGTTAAAGGCACATTTAATTTTAATGCATAGTGTACCATTCTAAAATATCCTAATTTCCTTACAAAGTGCTTGAGCAGCCACATACAGATAAAGTATAGCAAAATATATTTACAATCTAGGGTTTAAAGTCTTAATCTGCCTAAAAATAGTTTAAAAACTACAGAGATAAAATTAGTGCTTTCTTTCATCTTAACTGGGTGAACATACCCTGCCCTCTAATTTTTTTAAGTGATTTACTTAGATTAAAAAAAAAAAAGATTTCTGTACAAGATGTAGTTACAAAAAGGTATTTTTGAGGATACTTTCATAAGTGTTAAGCACCCTGTTAGATGCTCATATATATATTTGGGAACCAAAAAGGGTGAGCTGACTGTACCTCAAAAGTATTGGTTTCAGCTAGATACAGGAATATAATTTGTTTCTTATCAATTAGAATCTGGAAACGATGCTGAGAAGTTGACTCACTCTACCAAACATGATTTGCAGGGCTGGCAGATGCCTTCCTTCTTCCTGTGCGAAGACCTTTTAACCTTTTTCTCAGTCCATTAAGACTCTCCCCTGCCTGACTCTGCAGGTCTGTCCAGCATCATGATTCTAAACCACCACCTCAGGGCTGCACACTCAAGTGGTTCGCATTTCTCTGAATGAAAAAAATGACAAGTCTTGAATTCATTGGAGTGCTGATTCTCACTGTCTTAACCCATGAACAGTGAACTCTTGGCTAGGGTGAACCTGTGAAATTAGATACACAATCAGCTCTGAATAGTGCCAGAGCTAAGGACCACATGGGAAATTTATTTTCCAAAAATTAACGTTTGCCCAAAGAACACCAGATGCCAAAAACAGATCCTGGTTTACAAGTACGCACAGTGTCTGGTCTTTTGTCTTCAACTTTTGAGGTACAGCTTTTAGTGTTAAGGGGTTTCTAAAATATACACAGTTTTTATCAAAAATATTTATACATTCTGTTACAACATATTGCTTTTACCCTCGGTAACTGCCAATCTAAGTTCTGGAGTTCAGTGGCCTGTGTGTTTACAAATATCTTTTTCACTCAGAGTTGGATGTCGTTCGCGTGGCCACTGTGCAAAGTTAATGAAGTGGTGTAATTAAATTACTTGCCTGGACATAATACATTACAGCTTCCAAATATACATGTTCACAGCATGTATACATTGAAAATCCTTACGTTTTCTAAAAGTGATATGATACTGTACAGCAGATACGGGATGATCTGGGTGGTTAGATGGGGGACTGGTTAACTTATCTCTCCACTGGGTGAGTGGGAAAGGCATGAGCATGAGTGCAAAGGTGGATGGGCCTGGGAAATGCAAATGCTTTGCTCCTTGCAGTTAGACTGAGCAATGTCCTTGTTACATTCTTCATATAATCATATGAAGAATAATCATTCTTCATATAATTAAATTCATATAACCAGGGTTTTAAGCCGTGCTTAAAAAGCTCAAAGGCAAAACTGTTTGGCAAGTGGCTTTGGTAAACTCTGGATTTTTCTTTGTAATGGAAGCACTTACACTGTTGTTATCTCAAAGGCAAGGTGTTTAACATTTTTCCTAATAAATACCATAGAAAATTTACAAAACAAGGCATATCTGTTCTGAATACCATTATTTTAAGAACCCAAGATGGTGTACATAGAAAGGTGTAGTTTTATAGACTGCACAAGATAACATTTAACTGAAATAATTTGCCTGCTCCAGCTAGAACCACGTTCTGTGTGTGATCTCTATCCCAAACTTCTCTTTCACTGTGGCTGAGTAGAGAGAAGTGATTACCTAGCCCAAAGTCTGCTTTCCCCACGTAAGGCAGATACTTTAAAAAGTGATGTTATCTGCTTTAAAGGAGTGAGAGCAACAGTTACAGATTCAAGTGTGCACGTGTGTGGGAAGCTTAAGACAGCCTGGGTTCACTAACTCAGCATAAGAACTCCGTAGACCTGCTTTCCAGTGCTCAGATAAAAAACAATATACAAAGAGGCCACTCTTCATGAGTGTTAAAACAGTACTTAAAAGAATCTTCATGTGATTTTAAAAAAACCAGAAGCTACAGGTGGCACAGAGAGCAATTGAAGGGTTGGTATTCTTCTGAGAGAGGCATTCTTGTGAGCCAGTCAGCTGGGGTTTCACAGTGTCTAGAAGTTAACACCAATCAGCAATGTAATCAAAATCGCTGAACATTTCCTGCTCTTCTTCTGAAAGTATCCTTGGTTCCCGAGGTGGAGTGAGGATAGGTGCTTCGGAGGTAAATTCGTCATCAAAATTACTAACATCTTCTCGTCCTCTAATGGTGGGTACAAAAGGAGGCTTCACTTTCTTAGCCAGTAAAGCATTCCAATCGATTAGCTGTAAAACAAACCAGCTGATCTTTAGTTTACTGTCTACTACTCCTTAGCATCCTTAGAAGTAATAGTAGGTTGTACTGACCCTGAAAAAGTGATGCTTTTTCACATCCTCAGCATCTTTTTCTCCAGCTCCAAGACGCCGGTCTGGATTTCTTCGTAGCAGCTGACAAAACACGCAAGATTTGAGTGTAAAAGTTCAGGGGTAGGAACTAGGGGAAGATAAGTGCTGCTGTATAAGAGCTGACACCAAGATTAGGTGATAGAAATGGATGTTGCCTGACCTATAGAAAATCCCTGGTCCTCTAGACATATGTAGCTAGAGATAGCAATGCTCTTTTAGAGATGCCTGAACCTGTTGGCACAATTCCACCACTGGGCTAGCTATGCACATGTAGAGAACCTGTGCTACCAAATCTTGCACCCCAAGATGATCTGTGGGGCTAGTGTTGAGCACAGAGATACTGAAGGGTGTGCTTCTTGCCACAGAGGTTACAGCATTTACATAAGCTGGTATTTCTCGCTTGGCTGAGAAGAGAGACTACTCTGCTGTCTCCTGGGCCCAGCTATTTCACAGCAGTTAATTCACCAAGAAAGGGCTGAATGCTGCTATACACGCCCAACCAAATAAATGGGTTTTCTAGTTAACACCAGAAGTTAGATGTTTGCATGTGTGAATCATGCTGCTGTGAGCAGAACCCTGCTCCAGGCAGAGTGCCCCGCATCAGGGTGAGATGATAGAGTCATGATGCAGCCATCAAAAAATAACATCTTCTGTATTACCTACAAGTTTCTCAGATGGGAACAGTGCAAGCACAGCTACAAGTAGTAGCTATAAGCTCAAAGTTAATGGTAAACGTATTCTGGGTGCAGCACAGGAATCCCCTGGCGATGCAGGCACCAGCATTTTCACAGTAAAAGTGCCCTCCCCAGGTACTGTCATAACACGGTATTCTTCCTTTTTTTCCTCTGGACAAACGCTCTCCCTGGGAGTAGGCAAATAATTTTAAGCTATAGAATATTTATGCTATTACTTATGTCACAGTAGTCTGTGACATGCTTTAACTTACAGGCTGCAGCAAGTTGCTGAATTGGGTGCTAGACTGCTATTTAATGGCAGACATTCAAGTGGAGAGGTTGGTTCCAAAGGCTTTGAATCACCTCCAGTCGATTCCCTTCTCTAACTGTGATAATCTTCTAACTCAGAGAGGTTCAAGGGTCTTCTTTAGGTAAGTAGAGCCATTCGGCTAAGGAGTAGCACTAATGACAATCATAAACAAAATCAGCTGCTCTTTGCCAAGAATGGGACTGCAGATCCCGTGTGTGTTGTGTTCCCTGCCCCAGTTGGAATGAAACCAAGAAGATTTAGAAGTCTTTGAATTAAAATATTCATGTGACAATGTTAATCTAGCAAATAGGTCAATGCAGCAGTGTTCTGTTAGGAAAAGAGATGAACTTCTCTCATTAGGTATGACTAGGAAGCTCAATACAGAGAGAAGATAGAGCCTCTACTGTTCTACATTTTGAAAGAAAAAGTTGCTTCTCAATGAAGTGGAATGGCATTTTGCAATTTCAAGATGATAAGCAGCATGGCACAGCATAAATGAAGCAAGTCTGGATTTTAACTGTAGAAAAAAAATACTAAGCATAAGTTCTTAAAGTACTTAGTTCCACATAAAAGTAATTAATTTCTTTAATGTTGAAGAGGAACAGGATAAGAAGGGAATATGGTGATATTATGTTCTTACCCGTCTCATGATAGAGATGGCTTCTGTAGACAGAAATCGTGGATATCTTACTTCATCATTTACAATACTGTCAAACACCTCCTCTTCATCATCTCCAGGGAAAGGAGACTGTTAGGAAAGTAATAAAAAACCCCAAACTATTAAGTAGGCTTAAAAATCACTATGGAAAACTGCATATATTCAGCTGACAGTCTGGCATTAGACACCCTGAAATGAAGTCTTCCTTTTTCCAGAGACAGATACGGTAGTTCTCCGTAACGAAGAGAGAAAAGTAAGGCAAGTTGATATTATCCCTTCATTCTTACTGAAGGACTATGCTTTAAAAATGTGCTTTTAAGAAGCAGAAACACCTAAGTGAGTTTTTGACACAAGATACACAGGAAGTGGGGAAAGTATGTATCAGTTCTTTGGGACAGCCACCATTCACAAGCAACATAGTCAAGATTAATTTGCTTTGGTAATATTTTTCTAGCATGCTACAGCTCAAGGGTTTTCAAATTGCTTTGAAGTGGCAGATGTAGGTAACACCCTACAGGCTTTTTATCTCAAAGGAATTGGAATTTGAACGCTCATCTTTTTTGAAAAAGAAGAAAGTTATGAGTAAATCTATGTAAGCCACCGCTGTGCTACCTGAGTGACTCTGTAACAAAATGGCCAGAAGGAAAGCAATACAGGCAATGATAAATAACTGTCCAGTAGTAAATTATTTCTACCAGCTCATTTTATTTTCAATGCATATGTAATTCAAGTGGTGAACAGCATTGTGTTGGGCATAATCTTTCACTGCTATCTAGTTTTATGTATTAAATTTCACTTCCACTCAAGCTACAGGAGTTAAGGACTTTATTTTCTCTCCAAAAGCATTTGGAAGTGGAAAACTGCTATAGCTGTACCCATCCAAATGTGATGGTAACAGATGTGTGCTGGAAACTGAGCGTCCCCAAACCAGATGTGCTATGTTCTTGCTCAGAGACACTGATATTAAGGTCTCATTACTTTAATTTAAGGCATAATGATGTAATTAAAAACAAAATAGAACAAAAATCTAGAGTTTAAGTCTTGGACCAGCTACAACTCATCACTTCCACAGCTGCTGATAATTCAAGCTCATGACATGACTCACCAACTTCTCACATTACAGCAGCTAGTATCAGGTAAGTAGCTGCTCAGTATTAATACTTTTTTTTTTTTTTTTTTATGAAATGCATTGAGATGCTCACTGTAAAATGAGGTTTGCCTATACGTATAGTATATACAAGTATTGATAGAGCTGTGACAGGCCACATTAAGTGTTGACTATTTGGTATTCTGAGTTCTGTAACCTTTTTAACATATATTGGTTTTATGACTCCATTGTTTCTTACTAGAACTTACCTCGCCCACAAGCATCTCATAGATCAGTACACCAAGACCCCACCAGTCTACAGCTCTTGTATAGGAAGTTTCTGTCAGCACCTCTGGAGCAAGAAATTCTGGTGTGCCACAGAATGTGCTTGTTCTGTCTCCAAATCCCATTCCTGAAAAGTTACAGTTAATGAGAAGCAAGCAGGATTTTCTGCCATTCTACAATCTAGTCCTCCAGCAAGTAAAACCTCTCTCTAGAGCAACTTCAGCTCACACTATAGTTTCAGGGCCTGTCCTGAAGGCTCAGGCCAATAAGGCAGAACATTCCCCCATTCTTCTCTCCCATGAAGAATATGTTTTTCTATCCTTAACTACATGCAATGAATTAAAATAAGCTTCCAGTAACACCTCTGTCACCCAGTTTATCTTTGCCTGCGAAGACACAACTGTATGCTATATTTCTTCTAGCTCATAGAAGAAAATGAGGAACTCTAGTCAAACATACCTACTATGGATGCTTCCACACTTGCAAAACTACATAAAGTAAAATGTGGAGTGTAGTCAAACAACTTTATTCAAAATAAGCCCTGTCTATTTGCAACAGGGGGACAGTATGGGACATCAGCACCACATGGTCTGATGTAACAATAAATACACTTGGAGGTGCTGCAGAAAGCTTAAAACCATTTATGGTAGTAGTCAGTAAACCAAAGAGCTTTTCTTCTCGTTTTCTTCAGTCATTCGTGGGGATTTGTTTGTAGATGAAGTCACAGGACTTGCCCAAGGATTTTAAAGACAAAATATCTTTAAACACCTACTGCATTTACTAAATTCCCTCTTAGGCTATCTAAAAGGAAAAGATAGGGAAGACAGGCTATAAGAACTTGAGAACGAAATGAACTTTTCCAGATCTTCCCCCCCAAATGGGGTTTGAGAAAGACACTACAATTTCAGTTGCTACCTCTATTTTATGTCTTATATGAAAGGCAGTTACCAGTAGTGGGATGCCTGAAAGTAACTTTTTAGCATACAAGGCTTCCTTTTTGGGATAGATTTCTTTATTTTAGCTATAGTATACTTTGCATGTCATTTCCACATACTTAGAGTTGTGACTATTTCATAGTTAAAAAGATAATGAATTTGTAAAAAAGTAAGAATAAGGTATGGATTATAATTGTACTTGATCTTACTGTACAGTATCAACACGTTTAGAATGAGGATGCTCCTCATCCCTTCTTAGGAACGCTGCATTCGTACAATCGGAGATGTATGTCTTCCTTCAAATGATACAGGGTGAGTACACAGTGTACATATTTAAGAGTCCAAAAGTCTCAAGGAACAGCCAAGAGTAAGACAGATTATGGAATTCCCCCAGAAAGAAAAATTAAGGGTCATTACCTTCTTTGCAAAGACCAAAGTCAGCAATTTTCACAAAGCCTTCAGTGTCGAGCAATAAGTTATCCAACTTCAAGTCTCTAAATGAACATTTGAGAACAAAATTGCATTACTGACATTTCTTCAGTACTATTCAGAATAGCTGAAATTAGTCTCCTGAAAATGGGACAATGACTACTTACCTATATACTATTTTGTGTTCATGTAAATACTGAAGTCCAAGAACCACACATGCAGCATAGAATCTGTTCAAAAAATTAAGATTTCAAGTGATTTTAATTTTGCTTTTCAGAATGTGAAGTCCGTTATTACTGATCTTTTTTATTAACCATCATCTGAAGATTACAGATCGTTTTCTTTTTTTTTTTTTTTTCAGGTATTGATTAGTTTTATACAAGGTCAGAGCTTTAAAGCCAGATGGCAAAAAATGATTAAACCTGCAGCTTTCAAGCTGTACTATGTCAACTTGGCACAGAGGATAAATTTTCTGTAGTGTCCACTGCCATGGCATTGAAGGACTTCTAATTTGCCTTATTCTTTCCCTTTTTACCCTTGTCTGCTATTTTAACTTTTAATTTAGCTTTTATAATGTAATCTTAAAAAAAAGTATTATAAACATTAAATATTTATATGTAATTTCTGAATTCCATGTAGGTTCAGGCACATTAAACCTGCATGCGTCACTTTCTAACAAACTGAGTTAGAATCTCCGACCCTTTTAAAAACTTAAACCAGTCTTGACTGAAATGACACAATACAGAGGCAGGTGCTGATAAAGATTTTAATTCTCCACTGCACAAAATGCCCTTCACTTGATGCCACAAAAAGGGACTGGATACTCACACTGCTCTGGGTTCAGAGAAGACATCAGTATGAATGTGCATCATCAGATCCCCACCAGCAGCATATTCCATTACAAAGCAAACGTGATCTTTGGTTTGGAAACAAGCAAAAAGGTTCACCAAGAAGGGATGTCTTACACTATTCACAGTTTCAAATATTCGCTTTTCACACATCAAGCTGTGAACAGAAAATGAGTAAAAATTTAAAGCTGAATCCTGAACCACAATTTTTCAACTCTCAAAAAACTATTAGTAATTTCTATCTTATATTTTTCCTCAATTCCTCAGGGTAAGATAAGAACATTTTTTGTTTCAAGAGAGAGGTTTTAATACTTGCACACACATTACTTTTAGCTTTCACAAACAAAACAGGAAACCTAGCAGTTCATGGAAATTGTACCCATTTTCCTTCCAAATACTCAGACTTGCATTGAGTATGCATTAATATCATGTGACGATACCTTCAAACCACTTTCATTTTATACAACAGCTAAAGTGGAAAACCAGTAACAACAGTATAGACATCTATATATAGTAATTCCAGATTACTTCTCCTTAAAGCCAACTTGTTAATTTGCAGCTTTTTCTTAACACGCTTATCTTTCTTCCTGCAAGTCAAATGAATATAGTCACTATTGAACAGTTGAAAAAGCACCTCATTCCACTAAAGCTAGGCAGTTTTGTAACTCCCACTTCCAAGCAAAGAAAAATCTGACTTTTGGGGCAAAAAGACTGAAAAACAACAGTGGAGCATACACAGGACTTAACATGATGGACAAAGTATGAAAGCATGTTACAGGTTGAGAAATACCATCATGGGCGTTTCTGTCAGTAAGAAAACAGTTACTTTCCTCCTGAAATGTGATGGAAGTCTACTGAACAAGTAATTAGAAAAAGTAATTGCAAGAGAACTTAAATGAAAAACAGGATCAGATCAGCTTTAAGTCAGAGCTGTAGTACAGACATGGTAAGAGAGGCACTAAAATGAGTCAGTATTCCTGGGCCACACTGCTCCTTCCTTGCCCCAGAAGACAGACTACATTTCTGCAGCAGCCAACTAAGCAGGGAGATGACTACTTGTTGCCTGAAAGCTTACAGTTGTGTTGCATTCAGAAAGAAAATGTAATCCATTTATAGACTCTGGGTATTTTATTCTACAAACTGACCTGTCTACTTCATCACGAGCAACAATATCGCCTTTCTTCAAGGCTTTTATAGCAAACATCTCATTTGTGTTTTTGTACTCTGCCAACAGCACCTAGAACAGAGGATAAGTGAGTCATTTTAGAGCTGTATCTAGTTTTTGATATAGCTTTGACATTTGATACAGCCTTTTGACACTTACCTTTCCAAAATGTCCTCTGCCCAGTACAGCACAACATCTGAAATCCTTCAGACTGAACTGAAATCTTTGTTGTGACCTATGTAAATAAAAAACCCATCAAAAAACTTCTAGCTTTTTAACTTTAAGAAATGCTATTCAGCTCCACAGTAAAACCACTGCATTTTTACCTTCTGTCTTCAGGCTCTCGGGTGTTGGTGTGTTTTATGTCTGAATGGGGAGCATCAGACTCATGGATTACTTCAGGCTGGAGTTTTGGTACAATACTATTTCTGCCATTTTCAAAATCAAAAGTTGTTACTTCATCCTGTGGAAAAAATGAAATCTGAAAATTTAAAGCTGATTGCAAAGGCATATTAATGCAGAAATTTTATGACAAGCATGAGAAATTTTTAACACAAGAATTTTCTAAGCTAAAATGATATACTTTAAGACGATACAGATAAGCAAGTTTTTAACAGACTGATGAAACGTATTGCTTCAGTAATTCTGCTCTTTGTTAAAAACATTTTTTCCTCAATGCTCTTAATGATTTTGGGCTTTTTTTTCCCCTCCCCTCTTCTGTGACATGGAGAGTTAAACACATCAGCCATGGAAACTGTTTCCCACCAAGAGTAACAGAACAATTCTGTATGTGTAAGTTAAGGGAGCATATACTGAAACATAAGGGAAGAAATCCATCATAAAGATGCCAATATTGCAACTTTGTTAAACTGCATAGCTCAAAATTCTTAAAGTTACTTGCCTGAGATGGCACATCAGGAGCCTTTATCTCAGAAGATTCAGATATTTCCCCAAGGGAAGACGCACGGGGTGGAGCAGGTGGAGGCTCAGGCTCAAGTTCAAAGTCCAATTTGGCTACAGGAGAGTCACTGGCAAGAAGATAACTCCTCAGTTTATAGCACCGACTGTTTTAATAGTATGAAAACCAACTTTAAAACTGTTTGCTATGTAGATTTCTCCCACAACAAATCTTGTGTGTAGATCGTGTATACAATGGATGTCCAAAATTAAAACATCGAAAGGTCTGCAGTATTGCAGAATAAACAGATTTAACATACATTATGTACGTGAGGACATAAACACCTCACTGTTATTCTTGCTGTTAAAAGTGCTTGAAAATTGTAGATATCACCTACCTGGGTGACAGTGTTAGTTCAGGAATGTGTGCATCAACCACTGGCCCAGTAGCAGCCACTGGTGCTTGAGGGCTGAAGGTGCCAGAGTGATTTACTGTAGGAATAGCTCTTCTTACCAGCCTCCCCCAAGTGGCAATATTAATATTCATTTGAGGAGCTCTGAGAAACGTTTTGCCTGTGGATATTGTGAAAAAATAAAATAGAGTGCAAGTAATTTCCTCACTTATTACCAAAAGCTATAATTAAAAAAACCCCACATAGTCATCAGTTTATGCAGAACAAACTGAATTTGTCATATTCCTTAGTGATTTGCAATTATTCACTATTAAATGCTAATACATAAAACGGAATTCTAAAACAAAACATTTCTAAATGCAATGCCAAATCCTTCATTATCAGCAGCTTTAGTCCCAGGCAAATACTAGGTCTCTGTATAAAATATATCACAGATATGTAAACTTTTTAAGCTGATTTTTTTTCTAACACATTTATATTAAACAATCACCTTGCTGTTTTGAAAAAATTTTCTTCTGTCTCTGGAGTTTTGGTCTTCTTTCAATAACTGGGTTAAAAAACGTAACCTGCAGTTCAAATAATGTGTGTTATAATTCAAGTTTCAAAACAAAATTCATGCTTAGAAGTTTAAGAAAAACTTTTTAAACTATTCTGTAATATAACACTTGCAAGTGTGCTCAAGTGCTTCAAAGAAACATTCTTACCTCTGCAAACAGAGTGCCCTGGGGTTCAAGATAGAGACACATGCCATGTCGTTGGTTATCCAAGAAATCTTCCAACCTCAGAAACTTTACTGCACACAAAGATCTCCAGTCACGCCAATAAACTGAGATTTCTAATTCACGTGACTACGACAGGAAACATATACACAGGAAATTACTTGTTAGTAATTGTTCTGCAAGAGTTACCTCTCTACAGTCAGATCTAGCAACTCAAGGACCAAGATGCAGAGCTGTTACTTTAAAAGGGAGCCAGGGCTAACTAGCCACGATGAGCAAGCTCCCACTGAGCTGACTGTAGCATTTCACTTCAGTTCAGATGTGGTTGTTGGTGTCCAAATGAAGTGTAAGTGTAAAATTTCCCCAAAAGTAGAAGGAAAGAGTCAGTTATGACTTTTTGAGTCAGTCTGACAACGGTGCTAATTCAAGATATTTCACCTCAAGCTCTGACAAATTTTTACCTGTATTTAGATGCTTCAACTTTACTAGTTTTCCAAGTTATTCACAAGTATCGACTGCACGTCACAGCTCCAGTGACATTTTAGTACCTGTATACGTACTATGATGCAAGACTTCATACAGTATCTCTATAAATACACAGAGTTTTTGTAACACGGTCTTAAAGAGGAGCCCCAAACTGTAAACTAACAAGAACTACTGCTTTGTCTCGCCAGTGGGATTTATATATTCTTGGGGTGCTTTGTATGCTTGTTACAAAAGGTGAAGAATCCTGCAATGAAATGTAACAGCAGCATTGGATGTTACTAATTTCAGTTAGCATAGTTTAATTCCAGCATGACGCATCGATTTACTGTCTTTGTACAGCTGTACTTTTCAAAAGAAACAAAAGTTACACAGCAGCAACAGATAAAAAAAAAAAAAAAGAAAAAAGAGATGGGGCTTGGAATGTGCATTTCGAATATGGAAGTGTGTGTAGTCATGCCCAGCAGAAGGTCCTTCTCTGGCACCAAAAAACATCTAATATTCAGTTCTTAAATAGTGAACATGACACATACTGGCTGGAAGGATCAGTTCTTAAACTTTTGACTATTCTGAGATTTAAGACTACAACTAATCAAGGATTCAGGACTCCATAGCTGCTAGTTTAGTTCTGCTCTACTCTTAACCAGAAATTGAATTTCTCTACCTACACATCTGAAACTGCTTCCTTCCTAGATGGAAGGAATCTGGTTTGTGGCTCAGCGGGGTGGGGCTTGGTGAGGAGAGAGCAAAAACAGGAAGGTGAGCTCCACCCCTCCCCCCCCCTTCTCAATTGTTTTATATATACTGGAGATGACATCTGGGCTCCTAAAATACAGTTTAATTTACATTCTATTTTAAACACTGATGGGGAAAAAAAAATCCTTATACCTTAAAATACTATGACTATCAGGTATCTACAAAACAAATGCTTGATTAAACCTATATGAGGAAATGGCCTCAAGTTGCACCAGGGGAGGTTTAGGCTGGGTACTAGGAAAAACTTCACCAAAAGTGTTGTCAAGCACTGGAAGAAGGTGCCCAGGGAAGTGGTGGAGTCACCATCCCTAGAAGTGTTTAAAAGATGTGTAGATAAGGTGCTTAGGGACATGGTTTAGTGGTGGACTTGGTCGTGTTAGGGTAATGGTTGGAGCCGATGATCTTAAAGGTCTTTTCCAACCGAAATGATTCTATGATATAAATTCTCTTCAAAAGGTGTGAGAAAAGAAACATCACGTATAATTTTGATACTTGCATCTTCCAAGTAACATTTAAAATTCTAAGAAAGAACTCTTAGTGAATTAATTTATTATTCCTGAAGCTTCACATGAGAACACTTTTACAGAAGCACTATAATAATCCTATGACGTAGCTTTACCAAAATATCTAAACTGTCTGATACTAGAATGTACCGATAAATAATGAGAAGTTGATGATCCTATTAAAAATTTAAGTACCATCTATCTCAGGCAAAAAAGATGCTAAATGTTAGAACTTGGATAAAAATACGTCAGTTTGTAGGTCAGAAAAGGCAAAATTTCTAAAATGCCAGCCCAGCATAACAGCTTAACTCCAGGGAGCTCATTCTGTTAAGGACAGGAATAGTTGCACATATGAAATTTTAACATAATCACAACAACAGGAAAAAAAAAAAAAGTAACATGAAATTAATCTATAGATCGACTATAGCTGTCAATGAAGTAAGACCACATTTTTACCCTGTCTAGTTCCAGTGTAAATTTCTGATCCCATGACTGATTGGAAATAGGTTTCCAGCTAGTTTGACCAACCACAGTGTTATCCAGCTTCAGTACAGCACAGACTTCATCTGTAAGTAAAGTACACAAACTCAGCTTAAATCTTTAAGATTTTCCACAAACAAAAAAAATTTCACTAAGGTTCTCTTAGAAATGTTAGCTCATATTTAATGGGTTCTTATGGGTGTAATAGTGTGGTTGTGGTTTCTTTTTTGCTTTTTTAAACAACTTGACAGATGAAGAAACAGATAAGTTTAAAGGCTCAAATCAATCTAGTATTTCAAATCACAGTATATGGCACATGCATCAAAATATAACTAACAGATCTACATAATAAGAAAGGTAAAGGGTATACTGAACTAGACAAGTCATCAGTTTTCAGAAGGTTTCTACTACTTCCACTTTTACTTCGACTGGGTCTGCTCATGAAAGTTGGTCTGGCTTCATTTGGACTCCAACCAGGTAGTGCAATTGATGTGGCTTTTGATCGACCGGGGACATTTTCCAAAATATCCTGGCAGCCCATTAGCCTAACTTCCAGGGTACCTAGAACAAGACAGACAGTGATTTATCAAAGATTTTTGTTCTTACTAAACAAAGTGAATGACTAATAATTTATGGCAATAGCTTGCACTGTGACCCCCACAGGGTATAACAGAAATATCAGATTAAATGAAGAGACAGATCTAAGTCAGAAGAATATACTGAAAATAAGCATTAAAAGTCAAATATGTGGGACTCAACCTTCTAGAAGGACCAACAGTTCACCCAAATAACACAAAATAAGGTTTTGTTCCATGTTTCCGAAATATTTTTGTTTCTTTGCTTGAGTACCTAAGTGACTTGGGTTCAGGTGCTAAGAAATTTAATTTTTTTTAGATGACAAATCCTAGGTTTCTTATTAAAATGATGGATCTTGAATATAAAAATAACAATTTTCCTTGAGTTTTTTTATAACCAGATAATATTAGATAAATTGTTTTGGTAGCTAAAGTCAGCACATTGACTATTGAGACTCCAAATTTCTTCAAGATACATTCAGAAATCTCATTTGCCTGCTGCATGCTAAAGTCAAATTTGAGTTAGTACATAATAAATGCATTGTTCCAACTGGACTGGACTTGGATTTAGAAATGCTGAGACAAGAAGCCACTCTTAAAAATCCTCTACATCTTTAACCAAATGAGGCATAGAGGCTGCTGGTCTAATTTAAGAGTTTCCTCCAGCAGCACAGAAACATCTGAATACCACAGAAGGTTACAAGAACAGTAGGCTTACCTCATCTCGTACAAGATAGCATCTGTCAAATTGTGACACTGCTGGCACTAACAAAATCAACTATTAGAAGTGGTGAAATTAGCTGGTTCATAATCACACTGACAGCTAGAAATGCAGCTCCTAAGTGCAGTGTTCTTTGAAAAGAAATGTACCTAACTGTGAAACTTATAACTACTCCTTTGTAACAGAAATTTAACTCAGAGTTGACCTTAAATCGGGCTGGCAACATTATAGCCCACGGAAGAGACACCAAAAATCCAGTTTGAGGAGAAATCTCATCCTGCAAGAAACCAACAGCTCTACCTGACAACTAGCATTAGGCTTTGAAGACAGAGAGGTACTATTATTGGCTCCTCAAACAGGTTAAAAGGCAAAAGAGTATTTCATTCCAAAATTCCAAAAAATAAAAAATTCAAAAGCAGAAAGGCTATAATCTTGTATAAGGATCAGATGCGCACCAGAAAGTTCTGTTAGTGCACTTTAGAAAGTATGATAGTAGCACTGATCTATTTTTCACGAAATATTAGAGGAAAACACAAAGACACTGTTCATTTAAATCCAGTTCAATTCAAAAGCTCTTTGTGCAGCCAATATGAAAGTGAAACTATTAAGAACTTCAGGAGTGTGTTGCTCTGTTTTGATAATTCCTACTAGAAATTGTTCATATGTATCAGTAAATCATGTTTAAAGAGAAATCACTTCTCACCATAATGTACCTGACCCATGATTATGTATTACAGAAAAAAAAAAAAAAACATATCTGTTTTAACACCAAGGCATGATACGATACTTCCTGCCACAGTCACTGCTCATCCGAGATTCCATACTATGAAAAAAAGTTCCCCTCACCACACTGCAATTCTGCAGGGGGTCTCAGCTGAGGTCCTGATGCTTTTTACCTTTTCCTATGTGTCTTATTGAACCAAAATGGAAGACAAGCAGACTCACACCATTTTATTACTACTGCAGCTCAGCAGAAGACTTCCTCTTTTTGTTTTTAAATATAACCCCGCAGTACATTAGAACTAAATTCTGGTTTCAGTTATACATGTATAACTAAAGTAAGATTTGAATTACAGATTATTTCTGTAATAAACTCACTCTGTTAAGAGTTGGTTTACCAGTTACATGTAAAATGTTTTAGGAAACAAAACCAAACCCCAAACCTGTCTGTACTAATAATTTTTATGTGACTACTTGTTAAATAAATTTAGGAAAGCAACATACCCCGAAGTATGTATGTAGTCAAGAATATTTGCTTTTCTTTAAGAACACTGGGAGGCAAATATTTAGGAGGTTTGTTAAAGTACAGCTCATTTCTTGAAACAGTTTACTTCCAATGAAGGACAACAATTCCAGGTGAACCCAAACTATGAGAAGTTCTGGAGTCTTATATTTCCATATAAACATACTGTTGCCTCACAGCAGACTAAGCCTCTAAGAAAATAACTTCCACGTTTAATTGCAAGGAAAACTAATCACAGCAATAAACAGAAGCTCCAGTATTTCCACGCATATTTGTCAGGATCTCACTCTTTGGTTTAGAAATATAATGTGCATTTTAATAGCATAAATCTCATCTTATAGGAATCCCGTGTAATTCAGTGGATAAGATAGGGACTGGGAGAAAAGCTGGGTGCCTACCTCCAGCTCTGCCACTGATTTGTTGTATGACCAGGGCAAGTCACTTAACACTTCTGAATCTAAGCTTCCCCATGTATAAAACGGGGACAATGATACTTACCCACCTTTTAGACTGCTTGATGATCTAATGATGAAAGGCATTAAGTAAATGCTATTAATATCACATAGTGACCTAACTTAAGGCCAGAATTTCACTTTTTCAATAGGATTATTAAAAAAGTCAACAAAAAGAAAAATCAGAGAAACTTATCTGCATTTTTTTTTTGGCACATCGATACTTGGGAATTCTAAAAGCCTTTGTCTAGGAAAAGAACAACAATGAAATATGTCCAGAAAGAAATAAAGCTGGCATTAAAAACTTGTTTTAAACCGTAAAATAAAATAACTCCATAAATCATACCTGTTAAAGCTGCTGGTTTGGACAGTGTACTATACTGGTTTTGAGTAGATATTACACTTTGACGAGGACTTAATGTGGGTGAAGAGACCAGTGAAAGCTCCTCTATAATAATACTGCTTTTGGGATGGTTTTTAGGAAGTTCATTCAATCTCTGTTCCAGTGAATACTTCAAGAGGTCCAACTTCTGGCTTGATTCATTAAATCTTGCTTGTGCCTTTTTAAAGTTAAAAGAAAAAAATGGAAATATTTAATTTTTTTTTTCTTGGAAGAAAATGTAAAATTAAGTATCAGAAATTGTAATGACATAAATTACTTCTGAAAGTGCCTTTCTGTCGGTAACTTTCCCAGAACCAAGTAATTTCATGACATTTTTTGCACCTTCTGCTACAGCATACTCTATCCTAAAATGATGCCGTAATTCTTCCATTCGGAGTTCAAGAGGGCTTATCACAGGCTTTGCTGCAAAGAGACAAAAACAAAACAATCTTCATTGAAGACCACATCCATGTTTAATTTCCTTACTATTAACCATTCCCCCATATAAACACAGCAGAGGTGAGAAAAAAAAAAAATAAAGAGGGGGGAAGAAAAAAAAAAAGAAAGAAAAAGAGAGATGCAGATTCGGTACCCCAAATCAAAATTTTAAGTATGTTATAAAAGCAACAGTTAAGTTTTAAGGATCTGCATTTGAAAGAAGAAATAATTAATCAGGGCCTCAATCCAATGAACAGGTCCTACTGCTTGAAGAGCTGTACATGTTAGAGGACACGAGAAAAGGAACGTGTCTCCAGTGGAGTTAAGGCACAAAAGCCACATCTCAGCTGGCAAGAACTCCACATTTCTGAACCACGCTCTGAGGATTTCTTTTTCAAACTACTCTGTAGCTAAGTAGATCCCTGATCAGTTTCTGATAATTCTCCTGCTTCATATGAAATCCCAGGAAATTTGGCTTCTGCCAGCACAGAGACTGTAAGAGGTTCCATACACTGCCTTCCTTAAATGGTTTAGGTTAACCATCCTAATGTCCACTTCTTACAGTGTTTAGATTTCCTAAACGGAATTAGAAAGTCTCCTGGATTTATTCCTTTCTGCTTAAAGCTCCAAGAGTAGTAGCAACGAAAAAAGCATTTCAAAGCCCTTCCTAGGTTGAATACTTTTCTTTTTCTTTTGAATAAATAGTATATATAAGCCATATGGTAAAATGGTTTTGCTTTTCCCAAAAAAAGCCAGAAGTGTCAGAAGTGTAAAACCAAAGAAAACCAATCCCTATCCCACAAAACAAATCACACACAAGTTTTTAATTATCTAGGATATATCCAGGCCCTGATCATGAGCATTGTCATACAACTTCAACACTCAGAAATGAATATGAATAAAGTTCAAGACTAGAGATGTACCGATATGCCCACAGTTCTATAGTATGCTCAGGCTATTGTAACTCAGGAGTATTTGTTATTTCTTTAAAGATTTTGAGAGAAATGCAAGTTTAAAACTACTTCTGAAATGCAGTACAAGTATTTTAAATCAATTAGGTTTAAAAACACTAGATTTTTTTGTTGTTTTCAAAATAGTTCCTTACTACTCGGTCTAGCCTATATACTCATAAAGACAGCAAAAATTTACTTCCATCTGTGCTCCCACTGGTAATAATAAAGTCAATCTATTTAAGTATGACAAGCAGGCTTTGCACCTGTGTCTGACTTTTTTTTTTAGGACAGCGAAAAGATTATATGATTTGAAGAAACCTACTAATTTTTGTTAAGGCAAAAGAAAGCATAGATGAAGAGAGAATGAAGACCACAAAGCAAAAATGGAATGAATAAGGTTCAAAAAGGATGATGAAGAGAGATTGTATTTCTCTTCATTAAGCTTATGGTATTTTGCTTCAAGTCAGATGTATTTAGCATCCTAACACACATAGTGGTATCCCTCATCTCTGATTATTTTTGTTTCATGAAGCTTGTGTAAGATTCCTACTAGAAATTGATAATGATTCTGTGGGCACATGGGTATATATCTACATAGTATTCTGACAATAATGATTCACATTTCCCTTCTACTCCATCACCATTATCAAAGGCCAATTCATTGGTCTGGACTGCCTGAAGAATCTGCATCCTTATGACTTCTATTTTTGTCTTGCTGTCCTGGAGCATCTGCTGAGCTGTGGCAAGAAGTTTTCGATCCTATTAAAACAAACAAACAAGTTAAAATTGTAAATCCTTCATGGACCAAAACACACTGAAAACTTCAAAACCCATATGCTTCAGGAAAAAGAAACTGAATCTATGTACTTCATTTGGTATAGCAGACCAATTCAACTCACCACATTAGCATATTAGTGGAAATTAAGTTAGGACAGGCATATTCTGATTGATTAAAGACTATAAGCCACTTGCACAGAAACTGTACCTGTTTAAGGATGAATAATGTAGGTCTGATCTAGCAACATTACATGTGTAGGTTAAGGTTTTGTCAGCTGATACTAAGGAAAGATGAGCTATTAAGTGCAAAATACTTTCACCCTATACAGAATTACTCACATTTACCACTTGAGAACTATTCTAACAGACATATTTGCTAGACTAAATCATATCAAAATCATTGTATTAATTCATTTCAGCTGATTTTCAATCTGGACATTAGAAATACGAAGTTAGCTTATATAACATTATGAATAAGTCCACAGTATGTTTTTCTGAACCAATCCGAGCAGATTATTTTTTGCATTAAGTGCGTAATACACAAGGGTTACTTCATTAGCTATTTCATCAGCAACTTGAAGTACAGTACTTTCCACATAAACTAACTGAGCTAACCAGTTTTTGTTTTCAAAAGCAGCAGCACAAGAAGCAGTTTAGAAAAGAATATTTCTCACGATAAACTTTCAAGCTAACTGATAATACCATTTCGTTGTCAGAAGCACAGCTAGCCATCCACATGTTTCTCAGGTATACCATTTTTTGTCCTCCAGCTACTGGAGATCTGACTTTCAATGGATTATCAAATATTTCTTGCATATGGAACTGCATGCACTTCTACGGCTGCTGCCTGTCTCTCTGTATGTTCTGGGAATTACCAAGTAACTTAAAGGTGATCTGACTAGCAATAAGAACAAAAAAATGGAGTATAAGAAAATTTAAGGCAGTTAATTTGTCCTGTCTATGCAGTACCAGTCACAGTAATTAATAGTAGTCACTCTGGAAGATTATTACACTTGTTATAGCCCAAAGGGTATTTTGGTTAACTCATTTTGTAGCCAATCTATAACCTCATGAATAAGATCCTTTAGCACAGACATGGTTTATACTTATATTTTTAATTTCATAATGAGGTTTTCAATTATTCAATAAGTTAAAGAAATTCAATTCTTCCTCTTACCACAACCAAGACAAAGAACTGCATTGTAGACACCCAGAGCTAGAAATACTGGCCCCATGAAGTATACTGTGAGAAAAATCAGTATGCTGAGAAGAGAAAAATTTACCTTCAGAGAGCTCCTCTATAACCTTGTGCCTAATGTGTTACTCAAATATTTTAATGCTCACCCATGCTCTGCAGTATAGATACACCAAGACAGACACATAAAAAGGCTTTGACTGCATGGAGAAAAATTGTGCCCCCTCTGTATACCATAGTCTCAGAACTTTTGGTTTTAAGTTTTAGTATTAATCAACGTTTCAGAGAGATACCACTAAGTGTTCATATTTTAAGATTCCAGGTTAGGTATACAATTCTACAATTCTATACAATTATTTAATGAGTACACTGAATTTCCTAAATAAATGCCTTATCAAATACAAACAAACTTTAAAAATAACCAGTCTACAGCAAAGTATAAGATCTAAGTAACTGATTACAAGCCACCCTAGAATCCTGTATTAAATCTTATCCATGCAACATTCTGATGTATAAATATCTCATTTTTGATCTTACTGCTCTTGATTGTTCCTCATATGCTCTTACTGCAATGGATTTGCTTGCTCGGGGGCAATACCAGCCCTTCAATGAGCAGAAAGGAGGTAATTCAGGATTAAAGAGGTACTCCTAAGTTTTCAAGAGATAGAAAATTCTGTCTGCAGAATCAAAATGGATGTGTTATACTCAGCAGCTCTTCTAGTGTGGGAGGCTGAGTACAAAGGTATTCCAAGGCATCTCCTGACTACAGAAGAACTGACAGTGCCTATAAAATTCATCTGCAAAGCTGTCGTGGGATCTTAGAAAATCCACACGAGTCTGAGGAAATACACTTGAATAAAGGCCTTTATATGAGTTTAATATGTTTTAAAGAGAGTCCTGCAGTTACTTTTTAAATAACTTTCTGGATTACTGGGGTTAGATTCAAACTAGGAACATTCTGCCCCTTCTGCCCACCTCATCCAGACACCTGAGTTGTTTTAAGCTCTGCTTTTTAAAATGTAACCACCATGCTCAAGCCTACAGTGTAAACCTACCAAGGGAACTCACAGCTGAGTCTGAAGAACACGAGAGAACGAATACGCACCGTTTCCATCCTGTCTGCTCAAGCGGCTGGCAACGCGTTTGTCTTTTCCAGCTTGCTCTCCCCAGCCCAGTTACTACACACACACAATTTGGTAGGCTGATTTAAGCCCTTACCAATTGCAAATTCAAGATTCATTCATCAATTTTAATTACATGCCTCAATTGTAAAGCAAGCCTGAATTTATCCTTTCTATCTAGCCTGATCAAAGCCTGCTAACAATGTTTAATATTATAGCCCGAGTGTTTAGTTAAGCTTTTTCAGGCTGTTATAAGGTTACTTACCGAGGGTTTATAAGGAACATAATTCATGTACATCTTTTAATCCATTTGGGTCAGTTGATTATTATTTTTAAGTGTACCTGATGTTAAGTACATGGCTGCAGAGGATGTAGACTCCAGGGTTTCTGGGAGCTGAAGGACTGTGGTGCATGGACAGCATTCCCTGGCCCTTAGTCATAAAGTGCACTCCAGATATTTCTTCCATCTGCCCAAGGCTAGTAGGTTACAGATTACCTTCAGATAAGGCTACCAAAGTACCAGCCGGTTCAACAGAAGTTCTGCTGGGGCAGAATGAGCTTTATGGCACCTACAGTCCATCTAGTCTAATGTAATTTTTCTGGGACTGAGCAGTATTTACTGATTTTTTCGAGGTGTAAGAAAAGTCATACAGCAGGCAGATACAAAGTAACTTGCCTCTCCACCAGACCCTAGCAGAAATTCACTCAGAAGTATGAAGTTTCTTTCCCGCACTTTCTCATTAGTATCAATTAAAAAGGGTAGCAACACTATTAACAGATATTTACTTTTCAAATCAAATGCTTATTTTTAATAAGTTCACAGACCTAGCTAGGTGTTGGCTCAGTCAGTTAAGAACTTAAAACATTTCAATTTTATTTATTATTGATTGGAGACAGAAACATCTAACAAAGCTACTACATAGTATTTGTTACATCTATGCTTGTATTTCTTCTAAGGAGATTTATTTCTAATGTAAATTATTTAGCAAAAGCTTTTTTTTTTTTTCTCCTTCTCATTTGAGAACTGTGATTCCCTTATATCCATAAAATATGGGGGAGGAGAACGAGGTAGAGTTGACTTTCTTTATCTCCCCCACCCTTCATTTAAAAAGTTTTGTTTGTCTTGCAGTTGAGTTAAGTGATTCTTAAGAGTATCATGAATTCGATTACATGGTTAGGACTACACACTAAGTCAAATCAATTCAGGGGCTAGGAAACATTTCCCTCCCACCTTGTTGGAGAACTAGTTCTATCATGAGATAGAAAGAACAAGCAAGCATGCATTTAAAGTTCAGGTCTAGAAGTAAGTGTGGCTTTATTTTTAATTTCAGCTTGATGCTATCAGATCAACCTCTAGAATACAACACTTCTGTTAAAAAAAAGTATTTTTATGTATATTTTCTGTGCATATGTACTAATGCAGATTGTAATAACTCTATTGGAGTACTATACATATCTTATTTGCACAAATCTTTCTACTGCCGACTACAACTAGATGACCATTTCAGAAGCATACTTAGCCTTGTTGCCTTTTGTGTAATTATCATGCACATTACAACTTTAAACTAATGGATTTTTTTTTTTTTAAGTGGAGCTAGGAAAAGCATCAGATACCAGTCAGTGCTATATGAAGCTTTGCTGCTAAGTGAATCACACATGATGAAAGATTACTAGATGTACTAAATATAGTAAACCGACTTTGCTATTTAGGTTGAACTGCATGTGGAGAAATTGATAAAACAAACACTTGAGTGCGTATCAAACCACAACAAAAAATACTACCGTAATTTGTAGCAGATTTGACATAACTGTTGAAACAAAGATAGACCCCAAATGAAAAATAGTGAAATTGCATGTTGTTTATACACTATATATTTACACCACAGCAATATGAAAATCCATCTATTTCATGTTCTTTAAGCATTCCAAAGCCTTACCTTTGATGAGCCATTTGAGTACATCTGTATCATATTTTCTGCTCCCTGTTTTACCTTCAGTTCTATATCCAATTGCTTCTTTAAGGCCATCAATCTGTTGTTAGTAGAAAAACGAGGATCGCTATTTGGAGTATCAGGAGTCCTAGGACAATCTGTGAATTAAAGGTAAGATGTAATTTGTGTAGGAAAAAAAAAAACCAAACCCAAAACAAGAACCCCACCAAAACCCATGAAAAACAAAACTCAAGCCCCTCTCCCCCCAAAACACCCTAATCTATAAATTATTAGGCTTAGAGGTTAAAGAAAGCTGGGACACCAGACTTAAGCCCGAGCCTCCCGTCCAGAGCTGCTTTGGAGCAGGGCGGCAAATGCGCCTGATGGCGCAAAGCCTCACCAAAGCCTCCGACTCCTACACACGGCCTGATTCACACGAATCGCTTCCGGGAGTGGCAGCACTGGCAGGTTTGCAGCTAGCTCTATTTTTGTTTCAAAGGAGATTTATTTCTTCTGGAATCTTGAGGCAGTTAAAAATGCAGTTTTCCATCGAGCTTTCTTATACGCCTAATTTTATAACTAAGTGTTTTAAAAATGAACTCGGACAGTAATATGCACTACTAATGAGCATAGTCTAAATACAGATATTAGGCAGATCCTCACCAATTCTAGTATGAACATTGCAGACGTGTTTTATTTCCAAATTAAGAACAGATAAAATGAGCCTTTTCCTCAGTTGTAAAGCTGAATGATTTTTGCTCTGGAATCATAATAGAAACCTGGGATAATTGGACATACAGGCAGACAGGTTATTGATCAGCTGTGATCTGTGGGGAGGATAAAAGCTTTTTCATTTGACAGTATTACTGCATTTAGAGCTCCATCTTTCTGGATTAATTAATGGAATGCAAGTTAATTTTATCAAATTATATAGTCAAACATCTTAACATTTCTATCCTCCTCCAGAAAAGTCTATTAATCACAGCTTCTGCAAGATGAACAGTTAGAGAACTGAAAATAAGTGGCCACTGGACTATTTCCTAGTATTTAACTTTTTTGAACACAACTCTCCTTTTAGCTAACTGTCTTCCCTAACAGTCCCAGTGGCTCCTCTTTCACGCTTTTTGTACAGGGGAATAAATTATGTCCACTGAGTGGTATTTTTGCCGTTTATTTCTTCTACCCTAACAACTGAGAGAACACCTTCTCTATGGGCAAATGACATTAGTTGGTCTCCTGGAAGAGAATATTTACTCGATACCAACACCACAGTCTTTTATTCCAATCTTAATTTTCCTTGAATTCAAACTAGGATGATGGAATAGGTTCCTGAATTTCTCAATTATTAGAAAACACAGGCATTGCATGTGTAACTTACAATTTACTATTATGAGGTGTCATATTTCTTTTGTAGATGCTTCCGATAATTAGTTTGGGAGATTTAATACATTTTACTTTCAAGTTTGCTGTGTAATTTCCTCCTAAATTGCAATCTTTGTTGAAGCTAGATAGACTTCATATAAGGAGAAGTTTTAAGTTCCTCTGTTGCTAAGTCACTCTTCAGTTCAAGCCACTCCAAGACTTCTACCGCTTTCTCACTACTTTGAGGTAGTACAGAAAATATCAACTGTTCTGTCTGTCTGTTTTTTAAAATAAAAATCTGTGTTATTCTTCATCTGTTTTGTTGTTCATCCTCTCCTCACATTCAACGAATCATCATCTAATAATCTATTCAAAAATTGGAACAAACATAAAACTTGAAAGTCAAGTCTCCTTGTAAAGTAGAATAATTTTATAAATGAATATTTACCAACTTTAAATCTATGATGTAGGTCTCTGCCACTTAAAGATCCTGCCCTCTGATGATCCCTGGCTCCTGAAGTCTGTTTTCACAGCTTTTAAAGATGCACACAAGCAGTCTTCCTTTACATTAAAACAACACTCAAGTTACAAGTCAAGGACTAATTAGAGATACCACGGTTCAGGTTGCCCAAGCAGCTGTTATTATCTGCCTTTGTGTGTCTGCACTGTGGTGGCGTAACCACACCACGTACCTCAGTCATCTCAAGAGTTGGTCTGCACTTGTGGACCTAAACTATCCTCTACCATTTAGTTTAAATAAATCTACTATATGCTTTATTAGTAACAAGCATCAAAGGAAGCTGTTCTGTAGTATGAACTGCTAGGTAGAAATATTTTTTGCCTTCATACATAATAGCTGCTAACTAAACTCCTAAATAAAAACCAGTTTGGTTTCCTAACAAAGATTTTTTTTTTTTTTTCAAAAGAAAAAAAGTTTACGAACAGCTTCTCAGAAATAGCTTCCAAGTGACTCCTTCTCCCCTGAACCCCATGACAATTCAGTACGTAGCCTGAGGTAGCTTCTTACAGGCTTCAGATTAAAGTTTTAAATCAACCAGACAAACTGGTCCTGGTATGGAAAGCACTGACAATCTTTGCAGCAGCACGACAAGCTACATCTGTATTAGCTGTTTCCCTTTCTCTTCGTAATGTCTGCTGAGGTTGTAACCACTTCAGTACGGCTAGTTCTCGCTGACCTATTTCTACAAAGCGCTATACAGAGGGGCTCGAATCTCATCTGGAGATATTTAGTTATCTTCATAATAAAAATAAGTAATTGATTCATCCAGATAATTGTAATCAATGTAATTTACTTATATGGTTGAACAAGAGTTAAGCACTTATACCAAACTGATACTTCACTCAGGTATGTAAGTAGGGACTGGGGAATGTAAGAGATTCTCTAGTTTGCCATGTTTGTTGGTCAATCAAGACAGTACAAAACTTGCCATTTTGGATGCATTGAAATCCAACTTTGGATAGGAGAGCAAGAGCTTTGCTGGACTATGGATTAGTGCCCCTAAGCATTTTCTTCTTGACAAATATCAAGTGAAGTAACAGATGTATTTCACTGAATCTGACTTCATTTCAGGTAACTAGCAAGCTATTTTTGCCGAACAACTATAAAAGTTGCTGTCTAATGCTAATGAGGTTTGTGCAGCTTGTTAGCACACATCCAGGCTGCTGGAAGAGCTACAGTATTGCTTCCTCAGCAGCTGCAATATCCTGTTTTCATGAAAATATACTCATAAGACTTAAGTTAATAATGATGGTTTAACTTTTTTTCTTTTTTTTGTAAATGTCTGGATTGCATCAAGACAACGGCAGTTCTCAGCCTGAAATGTTTATCTTAACTGTGATCTCCGCTCTTTGGAAAACTTTTCCAGTTTGAGTCTCTGCATAGTGCTCACCAGCAAAAACGTTTTGCTTCTAAATTGCCTTTCACCAGCACTCCTGTCTAAATTAGACTAGTGACACAACTCTACTCTCCTGAGACTGCGCTTGTTTCTCTGGGGACTCTTCCCCAGATGCTAGGTATGCTATTTCTTGAATAAGCTCAGTGCATACTCTAGTATTCAATGTAACTTCCCAAATTTGGGTTCCCAGATGGTACTGCAGCATGCTGCTAAGCTACTCAGATAGCAGCAAGTGCCCTATGGTAAGTAGTTAATTTTAAGCTTATTTGAGGATATTTAATTGCAGTTAGCCTCATCAGGGTCATATCCAACAGAAACACCTGTGATGCATGTTTAGGCATTGCTGGAGGCAGGGAAAAAAGAGACATTTCCTCAGGGAGTCAGATGGTTGTATCAGCACTTGAACAAAGCCATCAGTAAGTTCAAGGCAGCAGTGGACATTCTGCACTCAGAAAGCATCCAGCACTGACCTGGAAACTTTTGAAGTCTGACTGAATTTCAATTCAGTAACAGCTAATTTTCACTACTAAACAAATGGCATGAGATAATTGCTTCAATAATGTTATTGTACATTAAGGTTTCCAAAAGTTACCATGGCATTCCTATGGTTATGAGCCATGCAGGTGAACTCTGCTGTTGAAAAAGTCACTACCTTTACCAATTTGCTTGCTACCTCTACCAGTTTCCAGTAATTGGTCTTATATACACACTTTGGTCTCAGACATTAACCACTACCCAGTCTTTCTTATTCCCCTGTCAGCTAGTCATAACCTCAAAAAACACAGTTCATTTTCTTTGAGACCCTTACAGCCAAATTTGATGTAAAGTGGATAGCTTAGAAGCTAGTTATGAAAATGGAAGCAGCATGAACTCATCTTTTTGATTTCACGTTCTCCATTTTTTATCCTGTCTCAATTTTCTCAAAGGTTTTTCCCATCTTCTCACCTCCTTACCTATCTTTACTTCAGCTCTACGGAACAGATTAATTTCCCCATTTATACATATTCTAGGTATCAACTATATGCCTAATTAAATCAGTGACTTGCTATAGGTAAACTATTTTAATCTTACACTTCACTGAGTCCTATCAAACCCCACAGTATCCACTGCTACATTTTAGACACACAAAAAGAATAGAAATTTAACCCATGTTACTGTGTAGAAGCATGCTTGCAAGACACAAAATTTCTTCACCTCTAAGACTGATGTAATCATCTCCATGTCACACATTAAAATCATCTTAAGATTTTCAGCAGTAATGGTCACTAGGCTTGTCCTACTTTTGTACTGCTGCATTCTGCTTCACTTTTAAGTGCTGACCTACAAATTTTAAGACTCTGTTCCAGTATGACTAATATACTACATGATAAGGGCAGATCCAGGTACAAAGTCCCTCTTCTAAAACAAATCTAGATTCACCAGCAACCTCATAATGTAAAGTAAACCTGTGTTATGCTTTTGTTTCTGAAGCACACATTTGCTGCCAATTCTACCCTCAAATTCAGTAATACAGCTTTTTGTCAAGCGGCTCTTTTTTGGTTAAGGTTTAATATCAACTCTTCAAATAGTTGTTAAAATTATTTCCTATGGCATTAGGACATAGAAAGCTCTCAGCTGTAAAAAACTATCATCAGGAAATCTTCACTTGCCTGAAATGGAATGTTATTAAAACATTTTTCTACAGTAGATTCACGAACACTACATTTATTGGTTTTAACATGTACTGATTACACTGTGCTGATTACAGAGAAGTTACACTACAAATTAGTTGTTTGTTAAGAAAGTAACATAAGTTACTGCGTGGTACCATAAGGTAAGAGTCATAACAGCTTGCATGGCACTTCACAGCTCTAAATCTGGAGCACTTTACAAATACCTGTTCACACCCACTTTTCAGATACAGGAACAATGAATGATTAAATGGCTTTCCCAAGTTACTACAATGAACTTTCAACCTGTTAACAGAAACAGTCCAAAAATCTTCAGAGTTCACGTCTGACAGGTCAAAGGGATCATCATCTTGTAGGCAACAAATCTCTTAGTGTTACTTCTCAACAGATCTCAGTTCAGACTTTGCTACTTAGAACCTGAAAAACCCTATACAATATACTCTAGAAGACAGGGAAAAACATAGGGCCGCCCCCCCCCAAACTATAAAAGTATATAAGTATATAAAAGTACATGAAGACAACACAGATCTTGACTCCTACAGCTCTTGAACCCTCTTTACCTGATTTTCAGAATTCATGCTCTGCACAGTCTAAACATTTCCCCATATACCTCCTTCTCTCTTTTAAATCATTTGTCACTAAACTAACCAGGAAAAGGTCAAACACAAGCTGAAGTGAAAAACGATAACTCAGAATAAAGCTAACATCTGGAAACAATGCACTTATCTGGAGAGCTCCCATATTCATTAGTAAATTGTTATTAAATTCACTGCCAATCCCAAGCAAAAGCAAGAATTCCCAAACTGAGATACCTGGGACCTGTCCACAGAGGTACCTTCTGTCAAATGGCAGTGATCTTCAGGGACACGTGTCTATGTATTTGCTGAATATTGTGTATATATACATATATACACACACACAAAACATGACAAGTGTGTGTGTTTGTAAATTCTCTATTACCAACCTTATATTGAAAAGGCCAAACTCACTAATACCTTAAGTCAAACATAAGACTTCAGTATTAAAAATCAGAATATTGCCTAGATGACTTGTACCCCTTAGTATCAAGACAGACAGAATGTTTACTGGGAGTTCTCCCTCTCCATGAATTAGTGAACATGAATAAGGAAGGAGACAGGCAACTAAATTACAAGGTGAACAGTATAAAAAGTTCCAGCATTTCAATTTTGGAGAGTAGGTGCCTGTAGACTACTAAGGTCTTTTAGACTACCATGATCTTTTATCCTTGAGCCCTTCATGAAGTGTGACCACGAGGTGAGATAAGCCTGGCTGCTAACAGTTATTCACAAAAGCAACGGGCACTTCTCAGAAGTGTACGAAGGATCTGAAAAATGTCACTTACATATTTGTACCCAAATTATCTCTTTAGAACTGGTAAACGCTTTCTTAGGGCCTACTGCATTTCCCAAGTCATGCACAAGGACAATACATCACAATGACTTAATGAGCGAGAGTTTTAAAATGCTACACTGGAAGGGGGCATTCCAATAAGAGCATTCCGTGCTCATCCGCTTTTCAAGTTCTACTATTAGATGAACTTCACAAATTCTGCACAGATCTGTCTATACACAGTCTGTACACAGCTTGCTTTCTGTTCTTCTCTTCCTGTGTTTTTAAAAGCCACACTACTGTCAGTCAACATGAAAGCAGATTTTCATCAACCTCAGCCAACATGGAACAGAATGCTTCGTGCCTACTTAAAACCCCAATAGTATGAAGTATGAATTATTGTATTATTTCCCATTTAATGCTGCAGCAACTACTTTGCCTCACTAGTTCCAGGTGTGTGTCCCCTCCACCCCTTGTATCTCACAAAGAGCAAAAACTTCAGAGAATACCATGCAGGCTGCCAAGGATGCTTCACCACTTTTGCAGGATGTCACACGGCAAGACAGTATGAACTGTAGACATCACCTGCCTAAATTCTTCCTGTAACCAACCTTTCTTCACAAGGATGATGTGGCCTTTTATTCTGCTACCCAAGCTTCTTAACATTTGGCATTCATTTCACAAACACCTTCAATGGCTTGTGCACGCTTATGGAGTTTTCACCAAGAGAGTCTATGCAATGTGAAATCACCAGGCTGGCAACGTCTGCCAAGTCATTCCACAAAACTGAAAAAGCTGTGTTTACTTTCCAAACATTCCACCACCAGATACCAAGCCTGGTATTTTTAAAAGATACATTCAAAATTATCATTGACTCACTGCCATGCCACAAAAAATATTAATTAAAACCATAAATTACAACCGTTTTGTGATTATGTGATATTGAATGAATTTCAAATGGTCTTTAAAATGGTTAAATGGTCATTGTGGAAAAGTCTTAAAAGACTTAACAAATTGCTGCCACAGTAAAAAATGTTTGACAAGTTAGCCAGAAATGGCATAACGGAAAAAGTTTTCAAAAGTTAAAATTAAAAAAAACAACAACAACCCAAAATCCTAAAACGTTCAAGTACAAATGTTATAATTTTTTTTCCCCCCATAGTACAAAAAGATGTATTAACACTAATGCCTACAGCATAACTCAGAGAAAGTCACTGGAAGAGCTACTGAAATTTGCTTTTATACAGCAGAAAGCTATTAGGAAATATTATAGTGACTGAGAAAATATTTTAATATTGTAATAATATGTACCAGTTCTCCACTTTCAGTTAAATTAGTATTTAGAGCTTCATCAAATAGTCCATGAAATACAACGCTCCCTAGAAAACAATTTAAAGCTCAAAGGGACTGGACACTTATTTGTGGATCAAAACAGAGGCATACATAAGTAACAAACTCACCAGCTATGTATTTGTTCATTCCCAGAGCAATTTTTTCAAGTGAAATGGGATACAGGGTATCTAAGCCAAGAGGAAAATCTGATTTCACAGTAACGTACGGTACCTGCAACATCTTCTGGATCCGTTACAACAATGTGTGCATTTAACTCCTGTAACTTATGATGCAAGTCTTCTAACTTCTTATTTGATTTTTTCAAAATGTTATCCACATAGGCCAAGTTCTTTTTATCTGTTGTGACCTTCCTGAGGTTCTCTGCTCCTTCCTTGATTTTAAGTTCCTTCCTTATTTCCCGCTTGATTTGGTCCTTTACTTCGTCCAGCTTCTGCTGTACCATTGTATCCGAAAAGTCCAACTTCTGGCCAGGGATCACATTCTCAGAGGCTAGAAGACTTTTGGCATCCCCCTAGAAAGAAAAACAGTAATATAACTACCAGGAAACACTGTTTCTTGACAATTCTTGTTGCACACTTATGATGACTAGAATTTAGGCCTCTGTATGTTAAACACTCACTTTCTAAGACCATTCACTAACCATGGGTCCACACTCATGTTGCCCTAAAATAACAAACTCACAAGACATTGCATGGTAAATGGAGTTACATTTTACAACAGGTTTATTTTAAATTCAGTGACATCTTTACTATGCCTATTTTTAACACCAAGAGACTGAAATACTTCTGGATTTGTCATGGCTACTTGCCTGGCAGTTATAAGCCTCAGAGCTAATGACTCACATTTGTAGTTTTCTAGATTTAATTGTGTGTTTTAATAGACTAAATGGATACAGGAAATAAGATTAATGTATAACAATTATTATCTATGATGAATTTTTATACATTCATTAGAATACATTCCTTTTAAAGATTGTAAAAAACAAAAACAAAAAAACAACAAAACCAGTAACGTCTGCAAATGCTTAAAGAAATACCGGTATCTTTATAAAGACTTGTCAAGATGTTACTGGAAAATATATTCGCTAGTTTTGTTTTTTTTTACTTTCACTTAAAAAAAAAAAATAAAAATCACCAAACAAAAACCCCCTCACTTTCTTGCACAGGCAAGCTAGGCTGAAATAAATGAAAAAAAAAAAAGTTGCAGTGATGAGTAAGTTGGTGTAGTACGGGGACAGGGGATGAAAAGTCTTCATACCACCAGTACATATGAGGTTATGCTTGTCCCTTATATATGTTTACATATCATCAAGGAGTAAGAGTACAAAGGGCATGTCATAGAACCTACATCAAGAATGTACAAGTACAATACACAATAAGACTTCCTGAGTGTCTTATAAAAGGACCAAGCGCAATGAGTAGACACCAGGTCCTACCCAAGAGGTCTTCGCTAAAGCCAAGTCAGTGAAGATCAAAGAAGCACTGTCTTGACCTTAGAATCTGATCCAGGCATAATTCAGGATGTATTTAGCAAATGTGTGGCCTGATCTGTATATAACTACCCAAAACACCAAATTTCCACTAAATTTTCCTAAACATAATTAATAAATTTCCTAGATTTCTGAAAGACTAGCGTAAAGTATTGGAAGGGATGATTTACAATATGAAAATTTTGGCTGTGAAATTAGTTGACATAATTATTTGCTGTTGGAAATGCCAACAATACAGCAGAGAAAACAGTAGGAAAAAATATTCAGGAAGGAGTTCAAGCAGCACAGCAATGGGCTAACAAATTGTAAGAACATCCCTGAACATATCACCTCTAGACATAGTCCACAGAGACTTGTTTGCTTCTGAAAGCATTTGGGGAAAATGAGAATCATGAAGGTGGTGCCAGGGCCATACATGTCAACAGATAATGCTGGTCAAATTATTTCAACCTGTGATATCGCCTTCCACAAGTCAAATCCAACCTACTAGTTCTCATTTATAATTTCACAAGTTTACTAAATCATCTTTAAACCTCTTTTGAAAATATTTTGTACTAAGAGTAGCGGCTATGGGAAGAAAAGTTAGCAACTAAAAGACTCTTAAATATTAAAAGTAGTCAGAATCACCATCTTGCCACAGAATTCGTCTATCAGTGAAAAAGACGACAAACAAGCAATTTAGAAATGACAAACTGAGTAAGAAATGAAAGGGGGAAAACCATGCAAATTCTATACTTAAAGTGCACTTATGATTCTTGTATGTACATTTCTGTAAGTGCAGATGAAAATAAATAATTTATTATGCATATGTAGAGAGGCTATTAATAGTTGTACTGGGAAATACATCACATTGTTTCCATATGTAGGCGTATAAAAAGAACCAACATTTTAAAAAGAATAATCAATACTGATGAGCAACTAGTACAAAGGTTCACACCCATAATGAAGGAAACCAACCACCATATGTTGAGTGTTTCGAGAAACAACTGAAATGAAAATAAATTCATAGAGCAAACTATATTTAAGTAATAACTATATCCAAGTCAGATTCAGATCTTTGATTTCCCTGTTTGTCTAGAATATAAGAATTTAGGATGTAAAAGAAGAGCTTCAATATTAGTGTACTACTATTTAGCCTTGAAAAACAGAGATCAAAACAGTGTTTGGAAATAAAGTGTGTATTTTTAAACCATAATCCTTTGCACATGTTCTGCAAGCTTCCTAGAAATAAACTCATCATCTACCTCCTTCAAAGCATGATATGACACTTTCCAAAGTTCACAGGACAAAGACAAGTAGTAAATGTAAAAAAACACTAAAACAACAAACAACCCCAAAACCGAAAGGAAGCCTTTATTTTTTATTCCAACAGCACCTGAAGTATGCTAAAATTATGCCAAGAATGTACGTTTTTCAAATAGAACAATGCAATTACAATATAAATAATTCAGAAATATTCTTGACTAAGGTTTCCCAAAGAGACCTCAGTTAATTGTTTATGTATTGAACAATAATGTATTTTGTTACAGGGGGAGGTTTTTATCCCTCTAAAAGCCGTACGTCCCACCTGTTAGAGAGATATTATGTTCTTCCTTAAACACGTTTTTGGAGCCCTTGTTCCAGATACAGTCTCTAACAAGTCTTCAATTAAATGAAATCTCCATGATCATTTGCAATTTGCATTTCAAATTTCCAGCAATTAAGTTAAAGTTCTCCTCAATTTTGAGCAGTCTCAGCAGCATCTTTGTCCCTGGACTTAAGGGTTACAGGACAAGGAGTCTTCTTCAATCTGCTTCCAAGACAGCTCAGAGATCAACAGTGTGAATGCCAACACTGGAATTGCCTATACCTTTAAGCATTCCTCTTTAAATCCTCCCAAAAGCCACAGATGATAATCCTTCTGTCTCTCTTGTCATCCAAAGTTAATTATACTTTAGAACTAAAAGTACCTGTCACCTAGTTACCTAGATGTGTCACCTGGCACAAAAGTCACTGTGAAATAAACAGTCTTCCAAGGAGACACCTCTGCACCCGGTGACCCTGCAGGTCACTGTGGCTGCAGAGCAGGCGTGCGTTCTGCAGGCGGAGCTGCTCTGCCCCTGCGCTGACACTTGGCTGCTGGGACACAGCGAAGGTTCGAGGCGGGTCCTGGGGCCGGAGAGACGAGCAGCCGCAGCAGCGTTCCATTTGAAAATGGAGATAATGCCAAGATGGACGCAACTGGATAGAACACCCAAGGGTTCAGCAAGAGAAGTGAGGTAGGATTTTTTTTCATTAAGAAAGGCACCTCCCCAAACGCTAAACTCAAACTCGACTTTTAAACTGGTACGTTTAAAATATCCCAGCTTCATTTGACGACAACCTATTACAAGCCTCTTGACCAAGCTGAATATTCTTTCAAAAAATTCTTTCCTGCATTTGGATAAACTCCCTCCCAGGTTAGGCTTCTCATCCATTACGACATAGGTGTTCTGTCCCTTCAATCTGAAAGTTAAGTATGTCAAAAGAGGCAATGGGTCAAGCAGGAAGGGTGCAAAGACAGAAGGTATGATTCATGTTCTCTATGCCAAGAAGCCATCAACGGATTTTGCACAGCCACTTCCTTTACTCTCCCTCCCAGAATCGTTTAATATAAAATACCTTAAGAGTGGAAATGCTCTGAAGCAGATAATGACTAAACCACTCCTGCTGGCAAAACAGAGAAGAGGCCTCACTGCTTTAAAAGCTAAGACAAAAGAGCAGGCAGACAGTTATCGATTCTCAGTTTCCTTTTTAATTCTGGTCGTGTTCTGACTGCTGGTTAAAAGGGAGGAGCCAGTCTTTGCTGGGTGGTTCCAAGACCGGACCATTCGGCAGAGCATCCTTCTCCCCAGTGCCACAGCACACGCCTGGTGACCTAGTTCCCTGCCCCAGCAGCAGCAGCAGCAGCAGGCACCCCGCACTGCTCAACAAGCTGCTCCTGGGCTGCGTGGAGAGCGACTGCAGGCAGCGGTGCGTAGTCTTTGCATTGGCAAAATACGTGTTTATGAGCCAGACTGGAGATTTGTGAAACATTTCAGCATGTAATGAAACTGAAGCTATGTTTGCTACAAAAAACTATCAAGGAGCACAAATTAGATACTACTGCTGAACGGGAATAAAAAAAAAAAAAAAGAAAAAGGAACCCACATACAGCTTTCCTACTGCAACAGCCTAACGACTCAACCTCACTTTGATTCCTGTCTCAAAAACTATCTATCTACACAGATTAATTTAAGATATCAGCCTTCAGTTTCTGTACTCCTGGGAAATGTTTTAAGTATAGTTGCTGAAAACAATGCGTAGTAGCCTGAGCATGTCTTTTAATAATACAGAGTCTGGCTGATGAGGTGAAAGAGTAGTAAAGTCATTCATGAAAACCCAAGGAGGCCTCACACTTTTTCCTAAGGTCAATTGTGAACCAAACAATTGGTGAAAGCAGGTGCCTTGCCGAGCAGCATTTGTCACTGAAACTCCCATTTGAGAATAAAACATCTACATTGCTGAACAGAAAAGAGTACCATAAAGCTAAATGTATCAGAGAACCTGCTGAGGTGGTATAAACTGAAGGACTTCAAATTCAAAACAATATTCTCAAATTGTCACCTCTAAGAAACAAAAAAAAAAGACAATGCTAAAATCCTGGGCATTAATAACTCCCCCAGACTTGCTCCTAGGAGCAGCACACAGCCGCGCTGCGTTGTGCCATCTATTCACCACAGGGGTATTGAATAGGGCAAGAATTCAGATTGCTTACTTCTGGTAAGCACTGTCCTAGAGAGATAAGTGGAGCCTCAGACTACAGCATGCTTAACAGCTGGCAGGTAATCATGCACAATATTATTTGCACTTCACACTGACTTGCTGCTAGCCCACACTCAACCTGCTTTTAGGAAAAAAAAGAAGAAAGAAAAAAAGACAGGTTTCTTTCCTACAGCTATTGATATTCATTTTTATATGCTCTTGAAATTAAGTAACCATTTTAATAGATGATAATA